CGACAGCTGTAAAGTCCCAGTAAGGGCTGCATGATCACCAAGCACGTGCTGCTCCCAGTAAAGGAAGCCGACTGAGAGCAGGCAGCAGCTCTCTGCTGTTCTGCAACTACTCTGCGAGACGAATTCAAAATAAGCACTTGGAAAACTAAGGAGGGAGCCGAAGTTCACCCCTCTGTTGGCTGGTGGCAGGTGTGTGGAAGGTTTGACTTCAGGGAGTCTGTTGTTTGAGTTGTGCCACTGCAACCTTCCTCATTAGAGATTAACTATACATCAAGTCAATTATCAATTAAGTGACAAGTTGGGTAAACATTGTAGGTGGTAATCGACCCTTTGAGGGTTCTTTGAAGCTCACTCAGCAACTCCAGCTTCTTTGAAGTCTTGTTTTGGCTTCTGCCACTGACTGATTGGATTGATTTAATAGTGAGTTGTACTGGGTTAATCTGAGCAAAATAATAAAGTGCGGTTACAGGGCTGCTTTTTGGTTTTGGGTTTTGTTTGTTTTGTTTTTCATAGCTAGTGCTCAAAGGGTAGTTGTGCTGGTTAAGAAGATGGAGCCTGTGATTTAGCCTCTCACAGAATCTCTTACATAGCCCCTGGCGGTTTCTAGAAAGCATGTCTCCCTCCAGATGTTCTTCACATTACCTTCTGGGGTTCACATATGGAAGCAGACAGCAGAAGAGTCTTTGGCAGGATGTGGGCAGGTGTCCTGTGGAGGAGGGGAGGCCCACCGAGGGGAGCGGGGGGTGGGGGGGAGGAGGGATGAAGAGGCTGTCTGCAGGAGGAGAGCCTGAGCAGCAGGCCCACTGTTGTCTCTGACTCCACGGCAGATGTGGAGCTGTCCTGTGCTTCAGGCTCCATCTCCACGTTCCAACACGCACGCTCATTCCTCCCTTGCCTAGGACACACACACGCAAGCCACGTAGCAGACGGGTGCAGGCTATTCTTGTTATGAAAGTGTCTTTTAAAGCTGGAACTTGCTCTTCCGCCTGTTTTATTCTAAGACAGTAGAACCTTAACCCTTCCACAATCATGTCTCAAGTTAGACATCATAGTAGGCAAACTCTAAGGTGAAATTAAATTAATTTCCATTCTTCCTTGTACTTCTAGAGCTATGAATTGCTTATATGCAATACCACTAAATCACTTCAGAAAAAAACAAAACAAAACAAAGCACCTGGATGATTTTGCTGTTAGGTATTTTTAATTGCATGAAAAAAATCATAGTTACTAGACATAAAGTGAACTAGAAATTAGATTTTTCTAGTAGAGTAGCGCAGGGAGGAAGCCAACATGGATAAAACTAAGATCTAAGTGAAGGTCACCCAGAATCGCGATGTACGTGGGGAAGATGGAGTGGAGTCACCGGACCACCCCCCAGGCAATGGACAATGACTTTGCTCTTGGCACCATTCCCTGCTTTGGGACTTGCCGGACTATTGTCATAGTAACTGACGTAACAGGTAGTTCACTTGGTAATTTGGCTCCAACTTTAATGGAAATAAAGATAATCCTATTATTGTTCCTTGTGATTTTTCCAAGTAGCTTCTACTTTGAGTGCCCTTGCTTGTGTATCCTGGCTTTTCAAAACCGATTATTGCAAAATTACATGTGTGACTTCTCACTCCACTCATGACCATTAACACGGGGCTCCTGTCTCGGCAATGTAACCTTACATTTGAGAAGAGGTCACATCTACCCTCCTCCATGTTTTCCTTGCAATTCTAGGATGGGTAAATCTTTTAAGTATACCAATTTGGTCCATTAAACATTTCAGAGAGTGTCAGTAAAATAATAGTCTTTTAAAGATAAGCCATATCAAATGCATTTGTATAAATCTTCAAAGAGTGTTTCAAATTATTCTGTTTTATACGTAAAATGTGTCCTTTGGGGGTGTTTTTGATGATTACCCAGGAAACCATCTCTTACTTTTTGGCCTCCCTCCACTGAAGCATAATTGGATGAAGCGATTTCCATTTAAAAGTTGTACGACTGTAGTTGTGTCAAAACAACACTTGTTCTAATTGCAATAAGCACTAAGTGCACAGCTCTTTGTCTTCACTGACCCTCGGCTGATGGAGCGTGAGCTGCTAAGTTACTCTGCAGCTGCTCTGCTTCTCCTGGGCCAGTTATCTGTGTGAGGCTTAGGGACGGTCCTGGATGGAGGTAGCTCCGTCACTGAGGGGACATTGCCCAGCTGGCACCCCTGTGGCTGAGCTTGGGGCTCACACTCAGGCAGCTCTGTGTGTGATCTCGCGTCCTTTGTGCATCTTGCTTTACTCCTCCACAGAGTCAATAAGGTCATACGAGTCTACAACAATACTCACAACCTTACAGATCTTTTGTGCCCAGCAAACAGGGCCATCTGATTCATCGTAGGAATACAGACAGGAGTACAGCTTTGCAAAGCCTACTAAGAGGTATTCAAAGAGAACAGGATAGGCCAACAGGCAGCAGGGTTTATTCGATCAGGAGTGAATAGGATCAAAGCTTATGAGGTTTGTGAGCTCAAAAGTCGCTCTGTCCTATCCAGGGGGCATCCAGAGCTGGGAAAGGCCTTCCCCTTGGAGTCCAGGCCCACGGAGAAGGCTGCCCTCCTGGCTGGGCCTGCTGACCCTCTCCCCGTGACGATACTCCCCACGGCTGCTCTTGGACCCTGGCTGTGCTAGGCCCTTTGGCACTGCAGACAGACTCACGTTTCAGCCGGCTGAGAGCTTTCCTACACGCTTTCTAGGATCTACCCCTAAATTCATTTAGAGATACGTGAGTAAGAGAAGGCTAAAGGCAGAGATTAAGGAGAGGGAACAAGAGGGTACTAGAGATGAGGAGAGGGATGGGGAAACTAGGGAAAGCCATGTCCTCTGCCTTCCTAGATCCATTGGTGACAATGCATTGAAGGCCGTGGTGTGTGTGTGTGTGTGTGTGTGTGTGTCTGTGTTTATGTGTGTGTCGTGTTTGTGTGTACATGTGTTTTGTGTATTGCTGTGTTTGTGTATGTGTTTTTGTGAATTTGTGAATTTGTGTGTGTGTTTGTGTGTTTATATGTGTGTCTGTGTTTGTGTATACATGTGTTTTGTGTTTTTGTGTTTGTGTGTATGTTTTTGTGAACTGTGTGGGTGTTTGTATATGTGTGTGTTTATGTGTGTGTCTGTGTTTGTGTGTACATGTGTTTTGTGTATGTTTGTGTGTTTGTGTGTATGTTTTTGGGAATTTGTGTGTGTGTGTGTGTGAAAGAGACGTTGTCATTGTTTTCCCCCAGCCTCCTCTCATCTTCATTGGCACCTCTCCTGGGTTTATCTAATTTTATTTCATCGATGTTGGCATCTGCATCCTAATCACGTTCATTCTCTTCCTTATATAAACTTTGTTTGAACAAAACAATGACCGGAATTGAGGGACACGAACACAACTGACCACAGTTCTTTACCTCTCTCCCCAGCACACGAGGCTGGCCTGGCCAGCAGCATGTGCACAATGCCCACACACGGCCGCCTCTGACATCCCTCCCCTAATTGTCAGAGGCTGATTGGCCATAACTTTTCTACTTCAACCATTTTCTGGTAAAGAAAACCAGGCGGTGTATAAGTTAGAGGAGTGTTATGTCCCCTGATTCTCTCACAATGACAGACAGAAAACAGGCACTCAAGAGAAGCTTAATATAAGATGTTTTTTAAAGAGAGCCTCTCCTTTTACAAACAGGCTTGCCCAAGGTTGCAATGTTATTCCTGGCAGAACTCAGGTGGCAGCTAGGTTAATCCTCAGATCCTTGGGTCAGCATTTATTCTCATTAAGTCTCATCTTCAACAATGGGGAATGAATCACAATTCCAACATATGTTTGAGAATTTAAAGTTAAAACTCAGTAAAATCAGACATCAAGTATACTTCCCTGTCTGAAGGTATTATTCAAGTTGAATAAAACTTTCAAAAAAGACAAGGAGGTGAAGGTATAGTTTTGTTTTCCTTCTCTAATTGTAATACTATTTAATCTAAGGGAAAAACCACATTTAATTGAAGACTGTTTCCGTGAATCTGAGTCCTGCCCTTTGTGTCTTGTGGGGGGAAACGGTAAAGTTCAATTCGGTTGGACAGTAATTGGCTTAAAATGGACAGAGGAATTTACAGGAAGTTTCATATTTGACATCTTTTATCCTCTAGCTTTTGTACTAAAATAGCAGTCTGAGGCTGGGGAAATGTGTATAATCGCTCTGGCTGTTTCCCCTTCCGCCCCTCAGTGGCCAGGCCTTGCTGTGATCCTCTTCTGCTAGGAAGATGCTTATACATTTTTGCAAGTGGCTCGCAGCTCACCAGAGGCGGCAGGTTTAAAGCACGGAACCATCAAATAATTAAAACAAAAGAGTCCGAATCCCAGCATCAAAATTACGAGGGAAGTCTTTGGATGTCTTCTCTTTCATGGCTACCTTTTGACTAGTACTTGAACCCAGGGACAGAAGTGCTGTGGGATCCTACCGTGAGGCCCTGCAGGGCACACTGTGCGAGGCCTGCTCCCGCCTGTCTCTGCCGCTGCCCGGTGGACAGCCCGCTCTTCGGATGGACTCAGCCACGCGTCCGTTTAGTGTGGTGCTACCTGGATTGCTTCTGATGTTCCCATAGCTACAGGTGCCTCTCCTCACCCTTATCACAAGCTGGTGTACCAGGTTCTCAGAGGAAAAGCACACGGCATCCTGTCCCCAGAAACTCAGTCACTACGTGCCAACAGGAAGTAAAGATAACCCTTCTTCTACAAATGGCGACTCTACCCCATCAGCCCCAGACCAGCTCCAGATCTAGCCTCCCTCTCTCTTGCTCTGATTCTGCTATGAGGGAGCACAGCAGTGCAGACAGCACCAAACACCAGGATACAGACATCTCCGAAAGCCTGGCACGCATCAGAGTAGTCAGAGAAGGAGGGGACCGCGGGAACCTCAGGTCAGCCAGTGAACGGACAGTGGAAGCACCCGCTGAGCCTGCTGCACCCCGAGAAACGGCGCTCCCAGGACTTACCATATGGATGGAGCTTCTGTGCCGCTGATCTCCAGGAAATCGTACCCTTCCTCCAGCTGGAAGTCGGTGAAGACCAGGGCGATGGTGTCCCCCGGCTCGGCCAGCACGGTCCAGGTGCAGTCGGCATTGTTGTCGTACTCGGAGGGGAAGTGCGGGCTGGAGATGGAGCTGCTGGTCCCACGCAGGGTGCCGCCACAGGCGCCCTCGGCTGCAGGGAGAGAGAGGAGGTCAGCCCAACCCTCACGGCCTGAGTCGCTCACCAACCGCCCTCTGCAAGGCTCACGATCGAGACAATCCAGAAACCCTCTTCTGCTTGTCTCACTTGGTTCTAGGAACCGTTCATGGCACGGTTAACCGAGGAGCCATGTGGAGAGGGAAGGACCGACCCTGGCTCCCTGGAGTGGGTTAAGGGTCAACACATCAGTCTGATAACAGAGAGTGAGAGGAGAGCTGTGTTCTGTCATTCTGAAAGGGATGGTAGACAAGGCGACATGGTATCAATATTTACTAGGGATTCATTTAACTGTACACACACACAACATGCAATACATCTACCCATGTGACTATCTCCCTAATGATCTCACAGTACACATAAGATCATTAACACAATGCAACCTTTTCTGTCTGATTTGATTGTAAGCGCAAGAACAGATGCAAAACAAGTAACGCTTGTAATATGTAAAGTTAAAACATGCCGCTCCTGACAGACTTGCATCGATCAGCATCCATGCTATGGGGGAGCAGGAACTATATTCAGTCAAATCCAGCTTGTGACAAATCCAGCTTTACAAATCAGCATGGCATACCAAATTCCTTTCAAGGTTTCAGAGGGAGAATTACTGATGTTGAATTCCTCTAAATATTTGCAAGAGCAGCCTCTGAGCCGGAGCATGGCTTGTGATTTCCATGTGTCGGCGGATGCATATTTATAGTCATATCATAGTAGTAATAAAGAATATGGGTGACCTGAATAGCAACTCATTTGGGTGTCAGCAGAAGAAAGAAAAGCAAAAATACTCCACAATGCTCACTGAAGTGAAAAATCAAATTCCAGAACAACTTCCTTTAGTTCAGAGGGTGTGTATGTGTGGGACCACATTGGTGTTAGCCTTGATAGACCTTTCATTTTGTAATATATTTTATTTTCTAAAACATAACCATTAAACATCTATCCACATAACATTTGAGGAAAGGCCATAAAACACTGTACATATAGTGTGTGTGTGTGTGTGTCCACGTTTCCCCTGTGTAGACCAGGCTGCAATCTAGTGTTGAACTCTGGATCCATTTACCTCCTGCTCTCGGGCACTGTAATCACAGGTGTGTACCACTGTGCCGTGCTCCGTTCCATAACCAATATTTCTGATAAGCAAATTAGAAAAATAATGTAATAGTTTTCAAACATGCTTATAAACATGCTCTACCTCAACATTTATTTATCTACTGAAAACATATTGTTTAACTGTAAATTAATGAGTTGGGGAATTATACTTTGAAATTCTGATTTGGTGAATTTATCTCTCATTTTATTCTAGAGGTAGCATAGTACATTTCTCCACAATGATGAAACATTTACTGAGTGGAATGGAAAGTTTTATCTTAATATCTTAAAGAGTAACAGGGACCAATTCAGTAATGACAGACGTCTGGAGTGATGGAAAAGGGCATTATTTATTAAAATGTATTGTAATAATGGGATAAAAATTTGAAAACTTAGAGTACCATACAAATATATTTTATATAAAACAAAATAATTTCGTGTATGACATATGGCTACATCAACACAATAAGATATAATGTGTGACTGCCAATAAACAAAATGAAAGCTATTATTGGGTAAGCCAGAGAAGTTAAACAAAATTTGTATCTTTGTAACTTTTCCTTTCTGATCCACATAGGCCGATAAGAACGTCACAAGATTCTATCTCTATGAAATAAAGCGTAGAATGAGGTTTGAAGCCACTCTCAGGGGCTGTTATCATAATGCACATTCCATAAATTATCTAGGAAACTCAGAAGGATCACTATTTGTTTTTTCACTTTAGCAGACATGGCTGGTCACTTCAAGAAAGCAGGTCTTGAGGGAATTGCAATGGATTGTTTTGAACAGTACTCTCCACGGTCTTCTGAGGTTCAGGACTGACAGCGCCTCACAGCCTGCCAGCACCACGGACAGCTCCCAGTTCACCCAGGCTCCCACCCCCCACTGGAGCACGTGACCCCTGCAATGAATGAAGTACTGTAAGTAGGAAACTGTAAATAAACTGGCTCCACATGCGCGATTCAAAGTCCATTTCTGCAAGATGCCTTAGAAAAGCATAGGGAAGTAGAGTGCATGCCTCTCTGTATTTCAATTCATTTTAGAGTCTTCCCCCTGAGTATGCACAATCTATAAACATGAAAACTGGCTGCCCTTGTTGAATGTCTCTAATGGGTGCTCTGGAACTTCTGTGTGGTAGAGTTGGGGGTGGCAAATCAGAGGGAAGTGCGTGGGATTTGGCTCCCACACCAAATTGTTATCAAAACAACTAGTTTTTAAATGTTTCCTATCTGGATTTTTTTTAATCTTGCATTTTGAAGGAAATGTTCAGCTAATGGAAATTTGAATTAGTCCAAGTTTTAGTTGATCCCAGCAGAAGGTAAGATTTTTAAAGGGAGCTGTACTGAATCTGCTGATTTCTGACTGAGAGGATCTGACATCACACACGGGCCGTGAGAACCGTGCCGCTTGTATGTGCCCTGAAGGGATTTCAGCCGTGAGAAAAGTTTACCGTCAACTTTTAAAAATATCTCTTGTGTGGGTATAAACTTTGCTGGGAATCTATCTTACCAACACAATTCAAAATATAGAGCAGAACATTATTTAGAAACAAGACTTTTCCACGTCTGTCATAAATGTGGAAAGCATCCGAGCACGCAGAACGGACGGATCATGAACTGCAATCTGGCGTGGCCACGCTGCGCCCTCTGTGCTACCTGAGCAGCCCCGGAATCGCCCAGGAAGTCTCTGAGTCACCGCCTCGCGCTGGCAGACACGGGGCACACGCCTGGGAGCACAGTCCCATCATTACTTTTAAAACCTGGGATGGAGACGAGAAATACGGGCCGTGCACAATCCTCGTGAAGTGTGCGACATGGAGAGCGCCAGCAGCCTGCGCCACCTCGGGGCGGCAGCGACAGCTCCAGCGGGCAGGCTGGAGTCCGGGGGGTCTCGGGTCTGCCATCGGGCGCTGCCAGCAGCTCTGGAGGCCCTATTGGGTGGTTCTTGCTTTTCCTTTGCCGCAGTTTGGTTCCCTGGGAGACGGAACTGTGGGTGTTGGGTAGTGGTAGCAGGCATTCACTAACCATGGAAAGATAACTGCTGTTCCTCTAAGGCACAGCATGGCCGCCACACCATAGCGGTGCAACTACGTATGGACGTGTACATGGGCTTGAACCTCAGTGTCTGCAGCTTCAGGCAACACTCAAGCACACCCTTCCCCTGGTTCCAGTCCCTATTTTCTGTGGTGAAATGAAGAGTCCTCACCCCTCACCAAGCGGTCTAAATGGGGCCATTCCCCCAGCATCTGCTTAGGCTCTCCCGGGGCTGGTGAAGGCTGGGACGAGAGTCGCCACCTCAGCCCCGACCCTTCCGTCCCCACACCCTACCCCACCACCTTTGTGTCCACCACAGAATTAGCCTTCCTTCCTCTGCATTCTGCCTCTGCGAGCAGGCTGGTCTCCCGGGTCACTCTGACCCCCACCTCCCACTCCCTCACGGGCAGACAGGTCTTTGCGCTGACACGTCGGAGCCTTCCGCTGGCTCCGCTGAAATCCAAGGTCCGTTACCACCGCAAGTTAATTCCCACATTTCAGCCATTTTATTCTCTTGGGGAAACCCAGACGTGTTGTGCAGATGCTGGAACTCCGCAGTCCTTGAAGAGGGTCCTAGCCTGGTCCAGGCCCCACCCACCCTCCAGGCAGCAAGGGTCCCGGCCTGGTCCAGGCCCCACACACCCTCCAGGCAGCAAGGGTCCTGGCCTGGTCCAGGCCCCACACACCCTCCAGGCAGCCCGGGGCTGTGTACCTCCGTGTGGACACGGCCACTTCCAGACCACTCCCTGCCCTTCCTACTGAAGACCCCAGCGCTTACTCTCTTATCCTCAGACTCCAGAAAACACTTCCAGTTACCTATAGCGTTTGCACTTTTCCAGTTACGTATAGCTTCTGCTCTTTAACTTGACTATTTTAACTTCTGCTCACTGTCACATTTTCTAACTCTTGTCTCCTCAAGACTTTTGCCTTCATTATTGCTGCTCTCAAAGTCAGCAAAGAGAGTCTTTGGATAACTGGGCCACTCAGCTCACCTCTGACGTCTGTCACCAACCAGACACCAAGGGGACAGGCACACTCATTTCCATCATCGCTGTTCAGGGCCTTGTCACCAACCAGAGACTTTTCCCTCAGGAGCTCTTTTGCAAGCCTCATTTGCAGAACGACGTATCCTTGTCTGGATAACACTTCATGTGAGCGCAGGAGCTGCCATACGTATATGAATGGTACAGAGACACTCGGTGCCCTGACCTTCCACCCGCTGCATGTCCTCCCCTCAGCCTTCCTGGCCTCCTTTCCCACCTCCCCATCCTCGAGTCTCCTCACCACCATTTCTGTCCCTCCTTGCATATCCCAAGAGAACACAGGAGACCCTTCAGATCCAAGCTAAACTAGCTCTACCTGTGCTCCAGGGTAGGTAAACATTACTAGAGAATAACCAAAAGCAAATATGTGCTAACGAGTTAACTTTATGATATTGAATTGGCCCAACAGTCAAACCGTCTGACTTCTGAGTTTTCATAGGTGCCGATATACTGTGACTGTACTGGAAATCTAAAGGTGGCTCAAACAACATTTAGTGTAATACTAATGCCATTAAACTACAAGAGAATGAAGAGGAATACTAAAATAAAAACTTACTTTAATTGTGGCAAAATTAATATGGCACAGGAAATCGGTTCTGTAATTTGGCAAAACATAGGGACATTTCTTGGAGCTAAATCCTTTCAACATGAAGGAAGACAAAAGCAACACTGCATGAACAGAACTATTTATTGTAGCATTGTGTACAGAAGTAACACTGGAAGCACAGATTACACTTTGTGATGGGGAGAGATAACCATCAGTGTAGCATTGAGGATAAGACTATACCAACTGGAGTTGGAATGCTTGTGA